GAAATAACACCACACATCTACCACCATCTGATCTTTGACAAACCTGACAAAAACAAGCAATGGGGAAATGATTCCCTGTTTAATAAATGGTGTTGAGAAAACTGGCTCACCATATGCAGAAAACTGAAACTGCATCCCTTCCTTATACCTTATACAAAAATTAACTCAAGATAGATTAAAGACTTAAACAAACATAAGACCTAAAGCCATAAAAATCCTAGAAGAAAACCTGGGCAATACCATTCAGAATAGAGGCTTGGGCAAAGACTTCATGTCCAAAACACCAAAAGCAATGGCAACAAAAGCCAAAATTGACAAATGGAATCTAATTAAACTAAAGAACTTCTGCACAGCCGAAGAAACTACCATCAGAGTGAACAGGCAGCCTACAGAATGGGAGAAATTTTTGCAATCTATCCATTTGACAAAGGGCTAATATCCAGAATCTACAAAGAACTGAAACAAATTTACAAGAAAAAAACGAACAACCCCATCAAAAAGTGGGCAAAGGATATGAACAGACACTTCTCAAAAGAAGACATTTATGCAGCCAACAAACATATGGAAAAATGCTCATTATCACTGGGCATTAGAGAAATGCAAATCAAAACCACTATGAGATACCACCTCAAGCCTATTAGAAAAGTCAGGAAACAACAGATGCTGGAGAGGATGTAAAGAAATAGGAACGCTTTTACACTGTTAGTGGGAGTGTAAATTAGTTCAACCATTGTGGAAGACAGTATGGCAATTCCTCAAGGATCTAGAACCAGCAATCCCATTTGACCCAGCAATCCCATTACTGGGTATATACCCAAAGGATTTTAAATCATTCTACTGTAAAGATGCCATGTACCCGCATGTTTATGGCAGCACTGTTCACAATAGCAAAGACTTGGCACCTACCCAAATGTCCATCAATGACAGACTGGATAAAGAAAATGTGGCACATATACACCATGGAATACTATGTAGCCGTAACAAAGAATGAGTTCATGTTCTTTGCAGGGACATGGATGAAGCTGGAAACCATCATTCTCAGCAAATGATCACAAGAACAGAAAACCAAACCCCGCATGTTCTCACTCATGAGTGGTAGTTGAACAATGAAAACACATGGACACAGGGAGGGGAACATCACACACTAGGGCCTGTTGGAGGGTTGGGGGCTAGAAGAGGTATAGCATTAGGAGAAATACCTAATGTAGGTGACATACGTAATGTAGATGACGGGTTGATGGTGCAGCAAACCACCATGGCACATGTATACCTATGTAATAAAACTGCACGTTCTGCATGTGTACCCCAAAACTTAAAGTATAATTTTTTAAAAAGTATGAAACATCTGGCTTCTGGAATACATGTTATAAAAATGAGGACAGATGCATCAAGTAAGACCTAAGAATCCAGGCTTTCTAACCAGGAAAATCTAAATATAGGATGAGATGATAGAAACAGGAAGACTAAAAGGTAAGTCATGTTGTTGACTAGAGTTTTGTTGACATCAGGATGCTAAATAATAATTTATTTAGTGTTTTTATATTAGCTTTAAGAAATAAAAGACCCCAGGCAAGCAAGAATCCTTTGACCAAAGTGAATTATAGAAGACTTGTGTGAGAATGAGCTTACTTAGCAGTGAAAGCAAAGACTTAGGAACAAAAGGTTGTACAATGAAAATTTTTGTCTAGCTTTGAGCAAAGACCTGTGTGAGAATGAGCTTACTTAGCAGTGAAAGCAAAGACTTAGGAACAAAAGGTTGTACAATGAAAATTTTTGTCTAGCTTTGAGCAAAGACCTGTGTGAGAATGAGCTTACTTAGCAGTGAAAGCAAAGACTTAGGAACAAAAGGTTGTACAATGAAAATTTTTGTCTAGCTTTGAGCATACACATACACATTTGCCCACTGTGAGGCCATTCATTAGAAAACCTTTATTGACCTATCCCTGACTGAAGAGGTTGCCTGTATGTTTATGACATGAACCAGTGTAATAACTAATAAAGATTTGGCACTTGCCTCATTAGCCAGAGACTCAAACTCAGAATTGTGCTGTATTTCGTGCACATCTTCCTTTCAATTTCTGCTCCAAGAGCCTATTAAACTCACAAAAGAGTAACATGACTCTCCTTGCCTTTGTTCTTTTTCAGCTCTAAGGGTCTCTGCATATGCATTAGATAGTTGGGAACATGACCCTGAGGGTCCCCCACAGGCTGAGAGTGGTGGCATAAAGTCAGCAAATGAGGCAAAGGAGAAGCAATATAGGAAAGGGCAGGCTCGTGAAAGCCAAAGAACAAGTTATTAGAAATGGTTACAAATAGTATCAAACACATTAAGAAGTCAAGATACATTGAGGAACTATCAAATGAATTACTGCAGGGCTAGTAACCCATTTGATTTAAAAAATACCAATACACCTTGATTCAATCAGTTAATTAATTATGTACTACAGAACGTTAAGGAGGTGAGATTTACCCTAAAAATAATCAGCAAGATAAAACTTTTGCTAAAAATCAAAGTCATGCCATTAAACTTTTTGAAATCTTTGATCAAGGGAGCAAATTCAAGTCCTGCATCTCATCCCTGATGCCCCTTCCTCAGTCTACTCACATGAGCATAACTCAGGAAGAAGAGCTGGTTGTTGGTGAATGTGATGCCTGGTAGAAGAGGTTCCTCAACTCCCTGCCTTCTGTCATTTATCCATTTCCTGTAAGCCTGGTGAGAGAAGAAGAGATGAGTCTCTGCAATGGTGGGTTTTTCTCTTTTCTCATCTAGCACAGGAATAGTAAATGTCTACTCCAGCCACGTGCGAAATGCATCATGTCAAAATTTTCTTTAAGAAAAGAAACACCTGGAAACAAGTCCATGTCCTATTGCTTACCAGTGAGGCAGGTACACCTGCAGAAAGGCCTTATGCTCAATGTATACCAAAGCAGCTGGACCAAAGCGTTCAGATATTAAATAACTCTTGGGGAAAAAAAGCTGTTCTTTCTCTTCCTACCAGGGGACAAACAAATCTAATACAATGGCAAGGCCCCTATGGCAATACATTTTGGGGTCTGCATATCACCTTTTTTCATTTTGACACGTAAGAGAAAAACTATCATCTTCTGGTGCCCTCATTTTATAAAATAAAGTATATTTCAACTAGAATATAGGAAGGATATAACCGGGAATAACAGTCTGGTCATTAAATTGAATGCATTTAGCTTTATGAAATCTTTCTGCATTATCCTTATGCTTCTTATTTGACCACAAACTAATGGATGATGAAAACGTTATTAGGAACTATCACTTGGCCCAGTATATGAGAACCACTGCCCTCTGGTCATAATTTAGAAGTTTGATGTTTTCAGAGAAATTTATAGGAAGACTACAGAAACACCTGTACTCAGGAAAACAAATGAACCTAGCCCCAAGGAGATTGCTGTAGCATGCTTCGATCTGATGGTGAATGTATTTTCTAAAAGCTATTCTTTAAATACATGATTCTTAATAAATATTATTCTTTAGGGTGACTTTACACCCCAAAAAGAAAGAAATATAGTTCTATTTATATAATAGGGTCAACAGGGAGACACACTTCTATTTACAGAAATTCCATAATATCTAACTCCTCAAGAACATGGCTGTGATATGAATTGAGGGACACCCATATGGTGTTTTATGGCTTGATTTTTAGAACCACAGCAAATGTAGCAGCGCATACCCTAAAAGCTTCCCGCAGGCCTCCATTATCAGCAATATTTTCTCCCAGGGTCCTCTTCCCCTTGACCTAACAGAAAGAAAAAAGGAAAAAAAAAAATGAGTGTTTCATGCTCAACTATCATTCAGCAAGGGGCATGAGTATTATAGCAAGAAAAGTATATTTTAAAGAGAAAATCACATCCAATAAATCAGAGGTAGGCATAATATATTGTAAGATGGCACACTGTCCTCAGCAAGGTGCTCCCGAATATAATACTTTCTATTTTATTATGCTACATGCTTCTTTGTCACCTACCTCTTCATTCTAACCAATCTAGCCAGCTCCAATAAAATGTTAACAATATTCTGAGTGACTCTAGTTTAATGGGAAAAAATAGGAATGTCAATACACAGGTTACTTTCTCTGATTAACTCATATAATTTCAGTATTCTTCTCATTGTGCCTGTGTTTCCAAAAATTTACCATCCACACTGGAACAAGATTTCATAGACCAACTATCATCATTTTACCTTCAGCAATTTCCATGAAAAATTAAAAGGAAAGTGGTTCTCCCAGGGAACAAAAATCAAACAGAAGGAGTACAGATCACAAGGTTGAGGTCTGCAATATGTATGACAACCAGCCAAGCATGGTAAAGAAATTATTGCAAATATTCAAGATTGTTTCTTAAAACTTTAAATGAGCTAGGACAAAAATATTCTAAACTAATACAGCCCACAAGCCAAATCCAACCTGCTCCTTGTTTTTGTACAGGCTGCAAGGTAAGACTGGATTTTACCTACTTCAACAACTGGGGAAAAATCAAAAGAAGAATAATATTTTGTGGCACATGAAAATTATATGAAATTCAAATTTTGGTGTTCCTAAATCAAGTTTTATTGGGACACAGTCATGCCCACTCATATATGTATTGTCTATAGTTGCTCTCTTGCTACAATGGCAGAATTAAATATTGTAACAAGACCATACGCCCCACAAAGCCTAAATTTTTTACTATCTGGCCCTTTACAGAAAAGTCTTTCAACTCTTGTGTAATAGGCAGAATAACGGCCTCCCAAAGATGTCTGCATCCTAATCCCTGGAATCTGTGAATATGTTACCTTATTCACTGCAAAGAAAGATTCAAGCACAGAGGAATGGTCCCTACAAAATGAAGCTGGAAAAATAAAGCATGGCAAAGGAGACTTACATGCGGTGATTAAGTTAAGGATCTCGAGATGCAGACTTTATCCTGGATTGTCCAGGTGGACCCAGTGTAATTACAAAAGTCCTTACAAGAGGAAAAGGGAGGCAGGAGAGAGACTGTCAGAGTGATGCAACATGAGAAGACTCCACTGGCCATTGCTGGCTTTGAAAAAGGAAGGGGCCATGAGCTAAGGAATGTGGGCAGCCTCTAAAAGCTAGAAAAGGCAAGGAAACAGATACTCCCCTACAACCTCTAGAAAGGAATGTGGCCCTGCTGACACTTTGATTTTAGGCCATTGAGATCCATGTCAGACTTCTGACATACAGAACTGTATGCTAATAAATTAAATTTATGTTCTTTTAAGCTACTAAGTTTATAGTAACTTGTTATAGCAAGCAGCAGAAAACTAACATATCTTGCTTGAAACTTTCAAGCCATGGAGCTTACCAACTCTTTACTTTTTAGCTAGCCTAGTCACCCAGGTATCAAGCAATATCAAGGAATAAAAATAAATCTTTGGAAACTATTATTCACTGTAATCACTCAGGACCCTCCTAGCTTCAGTATACAAAAGCTATCATTCCTGCTTTATGTATATTCTTTGTTATCCACAATCCTATGAGGTAAGTGCTAATTACCACCATCCTTGCTCAACAAACGAGGATCTAAAGGTGAGTGTGTAGCAGATGTTGATATCCCACCAGATCCCCTTTTCTACCTAAACTGTACACCCATTCCCACAACTGCTAACAGCCAGATCAACCTTAGCTTATGGGAGTCACCTCATCTGGAGACTGCTGGGAGGTTATAACCCACCTTCCAGTAATTGACTGATGTGCAATTTGAACAGCCCAGTACCTGGGCTGAACAATTTCTGTGGTGCACTTCGTGCTCCAGAATCCTCTGTGGAATCAGGGTGAGGCTCAACATTTCCTGAAACCAACAGGTTTCCCTCATTCCATTATAGGTTTTTCCTGAAACTACTTTCTGAATAAATCACTGACCTAGGCTGGGTGCGGTGGCTCACACCTGTAATCCCAGCACTTTGGGAGGCCGAGGCGTGCAGATTGCCTGAGGTCAGCGGTTCGAGACCAGCCTGGCCAACATGGGGAAACCCCGTATCTACTGAAAATACAAAAATTAGCCAGGCATGGTGGCTGGCGCCCGTAATCCCAGCTACTGGGAAGGCTGAGGCAGAAGAATCGCTTGAACTAGGGAGGCAGAGGTTGCAGTGAACTGAGATCACATCACTGCACTCTAGCCTGGGTGACACAGCGAGACACTGTCTCAAAAAAATCAATGACCTAAGGAACCCCTTCTTGGGCTCTGCTTCTAGTGAACCTAAGTCAGAGTGATGAAGTAAACTGCTCGCATGTCACTGGGATTCAAACCCAAGCAGTCTTCTGTCTCCAGAGCCTTTGCTTCCTAATATGCTACCTTCTCAAGTCCTAACTCCTCTTGGCTCTTGAAGATTAAATTTAATCTCCTTCCTTTTTACTCTGAGGTTTGTGTGTGTGTGTGTTGTGTGTGTGTGTGTGTTTTGAGACAGGCTCTCTCTCTCTGTCACCAGACTAGAGTGCAGTGGTTTGATCACATCTCACTATAGGGTTCAAACAATTCTTCCACCTCAGCCTCCTGAGTAGCTGGGACTACAGGCATGCACCACTACACCCAGCTGATTTTTTAAAAAAATTTCTGTAGAGATGGGGTCTCCGTATGTTGCCCAGGCTGGTATCAAACTCCTTGGTTCAAGTGATCCTCCCACCTTGGCCTTCCAAAGTGTTTAGAATACAGGCGTGAGTCACTATGCCCAGCCATTCAGTCTAAGCTTTAGATCTAAAATAGAGCCTTTTGGAGCAGCCTCATCCTCTGGCTCCTTGAACTCTGGTCTGCCTCAGTAGACCACATGGCCCTAGGTTGGACTCTCAAGACTCAACAGCTACAAAAAGGAACAACAACAACAAAAGACTCAACAGCTGCTGACAGTCTGCATCTGTAGTGCCCCATCTGAGCTCCCCCGAATTCATTACAAAGCAAGATTCAGGCACAAAGGAATGGCTCCTATAAATGAAGCCAGAAAAATAAAGCATGGCCCTTATATCCACAAAGGAAGCCACCTACTCTCCTGTGGAAATGAAACTGAAGCTGTTTTCTGATGGTTAAGTGGATTTATGCTAAGACAGGCATGCCCTTTCTATCGTCCTTGTGACAAAGGTACACATTTGTCAGAATTAAGTTTCAATCTCTGACACTTTGGCCAAAATGAATGGTGAAGAGCAGTCCACCCACACATCACCCAGATATAAAATGAATTTAAAATCAGAACCCGAACATGATATAGGGGAAGGAGTATGGACTTTGGAGTCGTACAGACATAAACTCTAATCTAGACTCTAACATGGGTTTTAATCTCTTTGAACCTCAGTTTAATTTCTTTGACCCTCATATGTAAAACCTGTACACTTAGTAATATCTGTATCTCTCAGGGCTAGTATGGGGATACATTTGTTTCAATTAAGTGAAAAGTTTCATCTTCGTGCCTGTATATAATAATCAAAAGGAAATATAAATTCCCTTCCCCCAAGAAAACTGTTCTATTTTGGGGGAAGGGGGTTTAACCCAAAAATCTTTGGCTTTGTTTTTTCCTGGGATAAGGTACCAATGAGTATCTCACAAAGGATCAGGAATATTAACTATCTTTCATTGATCACTTGCTTTGTGTCAGGCTTTGTGCTAGTGTTTCGCATTGCTTTGCTCATTTAATTCTTACAACAAATCAATGAGTTCAGAAACATTGACCCATTTCACAGATGAAGATGCTGAGACTCAGGAACATTAAGTAACTTACCCAAGTTCATAAAACTAGTTGAACCTAGATTTGGACCCATGTCTGACTCTAGAACCCTTTTCTGTATGTTTTTCTTGAAGCGACATATACTCCAGATAAATTTTCACAGTGTGAAAACCCCTGTACTATATAGAGATACACAGAAGCACCCATTTTAGGTCTTCACATGTCACAGTTGTAGATATTTTAAAAAATATAGGTAGAGAAATGGCTGTCCAGGACACTGATAAAAGTGCTAGACACCATTCAAGGATACTGACTCTGGTTTCTCTGCCTGAATGAGCAGTGGTCTCACTTGGGCTGAGCATGGTTTAAGAACCAGGAGAACCAAGTCAGTGTTTATAAACATTCCCTGTAAGAGAAGCACATGGATTTTTACCTAAATTCATCTACAAGTATAATAGATTTGAGGCATAGCAAGGATTGAGGTATTTTTCCAGCCCTAGCAATATATCAGGACAAAGTTCATGCCTGGTTAAGGGATGACCAGGCCCCAACCCCAAAGATTCTGATTCAGTAGGTATGGGGTAGGACTCAAGAATGTTCCCAGGGAAGACAGATGCTGTTGATCTTGTAAATACGCTTTGAGAACCAATGGTTTAAAGCAAGCTAATGTCCAAATGAGGAAAAATGAACCACAAGGTGCCCCCTTAGCCACAGTTGTACTCACATTTAAGCCAGCTTTCTTCCAATAATAGTTGCTATACTGGTTAATCATGCACTTTGTTTTTTCCTTAAACTTTTCTTCTGATTCAGTAGACCACCAAGGATCCAGGTTTCCATTTTTATCATATTTTCTACCTAGCAAAAAAAAAAAAAAAAGTTCGAAGACATTTGTGTTATTTATGGAAAGTAAATTCATCTTCCCTTTCCCTCACCTCGACAAGCCTTCAAAAAACAGTCATAACAGCAGGGAACGCTCTTCCTGAGATCAGCTCCTGCATTCTCTCCAATGTCACAGGTTAATTGTAAAAAGGGTGAAAAGGATAAAGACAATTGAGGAAGTGCTTTCCTTCTAAGGAACAAAGAGCACCTTAAAAATGAGATTCATCAATTTATTACATATACTAGTCTTATCCAATCTTGGATTCTGTGTCTTCACCTGATTTGACCCAAAATGTTCACTGGATTATGAAATAAAATGGCTTCATTCAGAAAGCCCATGGAGGCAATCAGAGCACTACTACCAGTGAAATTCCAAACGATCCATAGGAATAGCCCCAGTGAGTCATCCATACTGTGCGATCATAGACCCTGACTCAGCCCTTTAAGAACCTATTTCCTCCAAGTTGCCAGGAGCTGAAAGACACATAAAACCTCTGTTATGAATCATTCCACAGCCACTAGTGTGGATAGAAGACCCATTTGTCCTACTTAGACAAGGAAGATTGCTCTAAAAAGAAAACTTGGAATAAGAATGAAAATCTCCAAAACATAACGGGAAGAAAGATTATACATGCTTTCTTGCTATGTGCTCACTCTTCATTTTCTCTACATCCTTTGAAACAAAATTTGGATGCTGCTAGACTGTCTTCTATATTCAAGGTTACTATGAGAATCAGAGGCATCGTTTAAATTTAATTACACAGCTTACAAAAAAAGTCCCCTAAGTAAAGCTGTTAATTGGAACAATCCAAAACTCTTCAGCAAGGCTACCTACTACTAACACCACCCCCTGGGATAGTATGGAGTCACTGTCCTCTACCCACTAACCAACCAATCATTAAATAGGTACCGGGCACGTACTTATATGTGCAATGCACTGTTCTAAGCATTGGTTACAGAGTGAAATTGCCACCATTAGATTCAGTCCTTTGAGAAAGACTCCAGAAGTTCTCCAGAAGGTTCTGGGGAGGAACTGTACTTAAATTCCCTATCGAGAGGCCCAGAATGAAGAAAGGACTATTAGCTTTTATTTCTTAGCTAAGACTCTCATCTCAGATAAACCAAACACCCAAAGGCAGAAAGTCTAGCTCTGCAGAGTCAGATAACTACAAGTTAGCCACATTTCAACAGAAAAGGGAAGACCAGGGGAGCAAAAAATCTAGGGGATTAAGGAAGGGCTGGTGGGAGTACAGGAAGACTTTTCTAGAAGAGCCAGAGGGTCTCTGGCCCTGGGGTAGGCATCCAGGAAAGGATGTTGGAGATACTACAGGGATGGAAGAAAGAGGTCCCCTTCTATATAACGTTGCCTTAGGGCAGCTGGTTCCTGAGACTGCCTGTAAATCATTGTGTGGGTGTGGATGTGATAGTCATTTGCTACTAATCCATAAGTTTCAGAGATTTCATGTGGCCTTCCAATAATACTCCAAAGTTAAAGGAGAAGAGTGCTGATCAACAATGATGAGGACTCTCAAAGGAAGCCATTTCTTTAGTTTATGTCATATTCTGCTTTTTCCTTTTGTTTAAATGTCATCAGGATACAAAGTATATCCTATTACATAGATTATTAGGAAAGTATAGACTTTAAAATAATCAGAATAGGCTGGGCGCGGTAGCTCACACCTGTAATCCCAGCACTTTGGGAAGCCTAGGTGGGCAGATCATGAGGTCAGGAGATCGAGACCATCCTAGCCAACATGGTGAAACCCTGTCTCTACTAAAAATACAAAAAATCAGCTGGGCATAGTGGCACATGCCTGTAATCCCAGCTACTCGGGAGGCTGAGGCAGGAGAATCACTTGAACCTGGGAGGCTGAGGTTGCAGTGAGCCAAGCTCGCGCCACGGCACTCCAGCCTGGCGACAGAGCTAGACTCTGTCTCAATAAGGATAATAATAATAATCAGAATATAAGCCAGTATAGAGAAAAATAGAGAATAAGCATTGCATAATTTTCGAAATCGTAAAAGGGAATCAGTCAGACAAGCTCCAGAGTCCTAACTCAGCAAGTCCTAACTTGGCAGCATGTATAATCATCGTTGGAGCAGAGCTTGCTCCTCCAGGGAGAAAATCTCAAGACGAATAAATGACAAAGGGAGAAGCTATAAATCAGTCCCTGTAACTATTGTGGCAGCTACAGCAATCCTGATCTAAATGCAAAGCTAATTTTATTGAAATTACAAGGCTGCTTTTTAAAGTCTACCCCAATCACCAATGGGAACAATTGTTTATTTATTGCAAGCCATCACAGCAAGACACGAGGAAAAGTTTTCAATCAGCAATCATATTGCTTTGGATAATCTTCAAGCTATGATGCTGCTGCTATGCAAAGACAATCATAACAATTAACATCCATATAGTCAACATTATTACAAAAGCAGCAGCTTAGAAAATGAACCAGTACTTACCATTATTATCAAATCCATGTGTAAATTCATGTCCAACAATTACTCCTATAGCACCATAACTCAGAGATCTATGGCATAAATACATAATTTGGAGACAATTACAAGCATGAATCTCAGAGCATAATCCTTTAATTTTTTCAATGGAAAGCCAAGATAAACTGCTTTCTAGTCACCATGGTAATAACAATCTAATAACCATACCCAAAAGCTGTAAAAAATCTAAACATACCTTCCAATTGAAATAGACAAAGAAAATACAAATTCTAACATTGTCATTATGACCACATATGAACCATAGTGCCCTACTCTGTGAAATTAGGGATGTGAAAGATATGATTTCTGAAGTCCCTTTCAGCCTTAAGATTTCTATGATTTTATATCTGCTGTAGCTATATAGTTATGAACACCTAAAACAGGGCAGAAAAGATCCTGTCAGTAAATATATAATTCATTTTTTATCTGGAAACTTGCTGAGAAGTCACTATAATCTTAGAAGTTAAATTGTTTTCCAAATGTAGTCATAAAAAAAGGAACAGAGTAGAGATTAAAAGGGATCACTCTATTTTCAAAGGTAGTCACGTTCCTCTTTCTGTTGTAGACAAGATGACAACTGAATAGCAAAGATTTGAAAAAGGTGCCACTTTATTTCTCTTCACCTCTGAAGAAGCATGTGGTAGATTATCTATAAAACGCACCACCAACAATTCTACCTACCCCTGAATGCACACATCCCCTCCTCCCATCAAGAGGCAATCTATTTCCCTCTGCTTAAATTTGGACTGGCCTTAGGGCTTGCTATGACCAATAGAATGCAGTGGAAGGGGTCAGGTATGACTTCTGGGTCTAGGCCTTAAGAAAGTAGCCTCCATTTTCCACCTTCTTGGAAGTCACTTGCAAAGAAGTTCAACTACCCAGCTAGAGGGGATGAGGCCAAATGAAGAAAGCGAGAAACCCCAGAAGTTGAGAGACTCCAAAGGAAGAGAGAGAGGCCCTGCCATGCCCCAGCCACAAGAGCCAGCCCAACCAGGGCACAGACAGGTGAGTGAAGTCGCCTTAGATCCTCCAGCCCTCGTTAAGTGACCCCAGCCAGCACCATACAAAGCAGAGACCAGCTGTCTCAACTCAGTCCTGCCCAATTACAGAATCATGAGCTAATAAATGGTTGCTTGGTGGTGCTTTGTTACATAGCAAAGCATATTAAGAATATATGAAGAAATCAATAATGAGGTTTCCATATATGTGCCTGGGATTTTCTCTCTCAAATATAAGTTCTATTGAGGTCACTCCCTTATCTACTTGTTCATTGGTAAATCCTCTATACTTTGTGCAGAGTAAGAAAGTAACAATGATTTAACTAATTGATTAGTTAACTTTACCATCTCATGCAAGTGACAGATCTATATGTATCTTAATTTAGTCATTTAACCTGTGGATGAGAATTACACACCACTTAGAATCCTTATTGTGAAGATTCTTCATGAGATTTGCAATAATGCTAAAAATATCTCACAGTTAGTTCCTGACATGCAACATCAAAGTCACCCAGCAAATAGATCGGACCCATAACTGGAAGGAATGGAAATTTTTAAAGTGGCATGTTATTACAGGACATAATGATCCTTACCATGCTAATTGTTTGTCTCAACTACACCCAAGGAAGTGGTGTAAGATTTCATTTTTCCCCTTGGTGGCAATTCTTTCCTTTGTTATTTCTTTCCCGTAAGGTAATTTGCATTTGAAAAAAAATGCTTCCTACTGTTTTTCCATCATTGCAAACCTTCATTAAAGAAGTAAGAGTGAAATTATGCATTTCAATCATAGAGCTATCATGGCAGTGTGGGACAAACTTGTAATTTTACATAGTGTTAATTTTTGAGGCAGTAGCTATCAGTGTGCAGATTGCAACATTTAGTTTTTCCCGGTCTCTCAGCTCTGAGAATAAGTACTTGGTCCTCTACAACCCTCAGTCAATGCTGTTGACTGGATGAATTGAAGGCATGAACAATGGAAGCTTATAGAAATTGCTGTGCAATGAATGTCCTTTAAGAGGGGCTGCTCCAACAAGCTTCCTATTTGCAAAAGGTAATAGAGAATTCAGAAAATGATTGAATCATTGTAAGTTTCAATTCTCAGTTACTTTATCACAATCCTTTGGACAAGAGACAAAGAAAAAGTAATTTTATATGACTAAGCCTGACAATAATAATATTTCATAATATTAGATTCACATCCTCTATTTTATCAATGAAGAGTATTTAAATTAGCATGTCATTGGCCAGGCGTGGTGGCTCACACCTGTAATCCCAGCACTCTGGGAGGCTGAGACGGGCGGATTACCTGGGGTCGGGAGTTCGAGACCAGCCTGACCAACATGGAGAAACCCCGTGTCTATTAAAAATACAAAATTAGCTGGGCATGGTGGTGCATGCCTGTAATCCCAGTTACTTGGGAGACTGAGGCAGGAGAATCGCTTGAACCCAGGAGGCGGAGGTTGCAGTGAGATCACGCCATTGCATTCCAGCCTGGGCAACAAGAGCAAAACTCCATCTCATAAATAAATAAATAAGCATAAAAAAATAAACTCTCCCTTTTAAAATGCAACCGTGACTGGCTGGCCAGAAACTGGAAGATTTCTTGCACTGAAGATCTAGTCTTGCAAAAATAAAATAGAGAAGACACCACTTTTACTACCTACTCAGTTTCTCTTTTGTTCTTATTACTCAGTGGGTTTAACATATGCACACAGATTTGCTGTCAACAACAAAACAACTATACCGCTGTCTAGATTAACCATGAACTCACACGGTTATCAAGTAAGGGTTGCCCTATGCCTGAATCATAAATTCATAAAAATTTCTGAGTTGGAAACGGCTTAGAGGTCATCTACTCCAACTTCTTACTACAGAAATGGGTCCCCTCTTGAAAAATCCATTCAAATGGTTGGTCCAACTTCTTACTAGAGGAATGGGCCCCCTTTAGAAAAACCCATTCAAATGGTTATAATACTCTGCTTAGGTATTTCCAATGACCAAGAGCTCATCCCCTTCTAAGGTAACCCATTCCCTCTTTGGGCAGGTCTAAACATAATAGCTCTCCATAATGCTGATCTGAAATGTCTTTTCTATGGCTTCCATCTATTGGTCTAGTGTAGCCTCTAACTGAACACCTGCTGAATCTCCTGAATATAATAAGTCATTCTACCACCTTAACTTTCCTTCAAAAATATGCAGACAGTTATGAGGTTCCCTTTCAAGTGTTATTAAGTTCTTTCAACTCTTACTCTTCAGTCATGAATTCTAGATCAGCATTTCCCAAAACGCAGGGGAGTTTGGGAACCTCTACATTTCGAAGGATGGTTTACCAGAGTCTGGGAAGGGTGGTGGGGGGCTGGGGTCAGAAGTGGGGATGGTTAATGGGTACCAAAAAGGTAGTTGTATTAAACACATCTAAATAGGTTTCTTTCTTGCAGAGCTTCTAGGAAACTTTTATGGTGATAATTATTATGATTCCCCAGAACTAAGGGAAGGGGAGGATGACTTACCTCTCTTACTATTTCATGGAACACACACTTTGAGAAACGTTGTCTTCAACTATTTACAGTCCTGATTCTTTCCTCTGGAAATAATTCAACTTGTTCATGCCTCATAATTGGACTCAACACTCAGGTGAGGACTAAGCTGAGCACTGTGAGCAGAAAGGATACCCACTCCCTTGTTTCTGGAGGCTATCCATTTATTAATACAGAATAGATGAACGTATGGGAAGCCATCTCACTGGACCGTGACTCCCATGTCTTTAGCATCTTCATATTCCCAATGCTGGGAACCCAGATGATACATAATAGCTATTCATTAAGTGGATGAGGACAAAGAAGTCTTTAGGAAAAAAAAATTCTCTTTCACACTCAAGTATTAGCTATGACCTAGCCTAAGGTACAAACAAATAGACACTAACATTAACTCCTATGTTTCGATGATCTTAGCTTTTATATCAGAAAATCATGCTCACAGACCCAATAAACAAATCACTTAATCAATAACTCCAAAAATCTAACCAGACTATTTCCTAATCTCCAGCTATATAATCACGGTAATAGAAGCTCAGTTAAATTGTCAACAATAAGCAGAATCAAAGAATTCTAGGACTTTTTTAGTTTGAAGGGAACTTAAAGAATATCCTAAACCTTTAATTTTTTAGAAATATATATATAATATAAATATATATTTATACTTATTTTATAAATATAAATTTATATTAAATTTTTATATATTATATAAATGTAAATTTATATTCAATTTTTATATATTATAAAAATATATATTATATATATTTCTAAACTTAAAAGCAGGGCAAATTGATTCCAAACATCTGAACATCAAAGAAAACTATGCAGCTGAGGTCTGGGATATTATTAATGGATTTGGTTAAATAAGAACCTGGAATTTTTATTTATTCTAACAATGGTACTTCCCTGTAGTAAGCTTTATCGATGACTGCCCATGTCCTCTTAGCCCTATTTTTGAGCACACCAATCTGACAGCCTTCAAATGTCAGCACCTGAAACTAGTTGCCTAAGGACTTTCTCCAGCCATTAGAGCCCTCTTGGCCTAGGATGGGCACTGCCAGGTACCCCTGGTAGGAGCCCTCAATCAATGATGGAAGGTGAGTTGGAGGATAGATAAATACCCCAGCTCCCATGTGCCTGAGGTGGGATCACTCTGAAGCATGTTTTACAGTTCCCCAGCAAGACTGAGCTCCAGTTGCCCATGGTGATAACTGACTTTGTAACACACATGTGGTAGGTGGAATAATGGCCTACAAAAGATGTCCATATGCTAATCTTTGGAACCTGTGAATATGTTATGTTACACAATAAAGGGCAATTAAAGCTGCAGATGGAATTAAGGTTGCTAATCAGTTGACCTTAAAACAGGAAGATTATCCTGAATTATCTGAATGGTCCCAGTGTAATCACAAGGGTCCTTATAAGTAGAAGGGAGAGACAGAAGATGAGAGTCAGAAGGACTCTCTTATGTTATGTTTCTAAAGATAAATTCAATTATCTAACTTGCTCAAAACTTTCAATATTTTCTATTGCCTATTAGTATCCAAGCTCCTTACCTGACATGCAGAGCCCTCCAATATCAAACCTCAATCTTCTTTTCCACTACTTCCTTTCATGTACCATTTGGCTAGCCAAACTAGACTCTGCCATTATAGAAACACTTTTTCCTCCTTATCTCACATTGTTTCTTCTATCTGGAATGGTTTTAGACTCATCCCATCAATTCAAATCCCAACAATCCTTCAATGTCCAAATACTGGTAGTATGAGTTAATGGGTAAGAGAATAAATGCATAAAAATGAAAGCCACCTATGTGTAAGTTGGCCTTCCTGTCCAGTCATACACCCTGGTAATAAGGATCAGAAAACAAATACCCAAAAAGAGTACAGCCGACCCATGCCAGATTCCATGGCATCTTTCTGCTGAATAACCACTGACTTTGTTTCTTCTGTCCTCTACCAAAGCAACATGTTCTTCCTAATTGGTAACTGGTTTCTTTACTCATTTACTCACCGAGGATATTCTGTTCCCCAAAAGAAAGGCTTCTGGAGCTCTCCTGCTGGAAATCCTATGAGAAAGAAAAAATGTTAAGAGATATAGAGAGAGTGATTCAATGATGAGTACCTGGTTCTAGCTATAAATTTGAGGTTTCAAAGACCCATCTCAAAGACACTCCTCCTGGCACTGGGAGCACTCTAAGAGACCTAGCTGTCTCAATGATATCAATTCAACTGAGTTTGAAATAAGTGTATTAAATGGTTTCAGGGAAACTATTTTGCACTGGTACACTATTGGCAACGTCCAGCCTGCTGTGAGCTGGGCTCCTTCATACATGGCATGCTAATGAGGCTTCAGGCTTTCCAGCAGCTTTGCCTGATACAGAAAGGGCTGGCTCTGTGGGCGTGCAACCTGTGTAGTCACACAGGCCCCACACAGAGAAGGGTTCTGCACTTAATGTAATCCTCTCCTGCCAGTGTCTTGAAATTCATAACTATTTTATCTTTGAACTTGTATTTTTTTAGTGGAGCCCGAGGAGACAATGGAACATGTGTGTGTGAGCTGAGAAAATGTGCACAATATGTGTCTGCTGTTCCTAGGAGCCCCATTTTCACACAGCATTCACAATGTCCCAGGAGCACAGGACTCCATCAGGCCCACAGTGCGTAGGAGTTTAGTGAGATGCCAAACAAATACAAGGTAAATATGATACATCTAGAACTGAGTAAGCTCTGATAGCCCTAAGAGGCCATACTTTTCATTCGAACCAGAATTTGCTTCAATGACCAAAAGAAGGTAGTGGCATTCTAAGAAACATGAATGTCCAAGGAATCCTGTCATAACCTTTCTCATAACTGTTACTTCCCTGTATTGGCCAAACACCTACACTGAAAATGATGACATAAAAGGACAGAGAAAGGGTGAATTATATGGTTTGGCTGTGTCCCCACTCAAATCTCACCTTGAATTGTAATAATCCCCATGTGTCAAGGGTGGGGCCAGGTGGAGATAACTGAATCATGGGAGTGGTTTCCCCCATACTGTTCTCATGGTAGTGAGTAAGTCTCATGAGATCCAGTAGTTTTATATAGGGGAGTTCCCCTGCACAAGTTCTCTTGCCTGCCGCCATGTAAGACATGACTTTGCTCCTCTTTTATCTTCCACAATAATTGTGAGGCCTCTTCAGCCATGTGGAACTGTAAGTCCATTAAACATCTTTCCTTTATAAATTACCCAGTCTCAGGTATGTCTTTATTAGCAGTGGGAGAACAGACTTATACAATAACCTGTAGTTTCTTTTCCTTTTAGTCCTTCCTTACTCATCAGTAAACCAAAGGTAGAGAGTATTGGTAGAATGAACATGTATTAAGAAGTGAAATAAAAAGTTGAGTTTTGTTCAGCATTTCCTCCATGCTGGTAAGAACAAAACACATATGCACAAACAAGCTACAAAATACAAACTGTGTAATTTTGGTGATTCCACGTACAAGTTAAATGCTCTTATGTTTGCATTTAAAACTGACATTGCACAATATTGAGATGAAAAGTAAGACTCATGCTAATGACTTACATCTTTAATTTTTCTTATAATAGCATTGAATAGCAAATAAAACAATACCATGACAAGTTGAAAGAGAAAAGCCATGAAAGATAGGGCAAGGCTTTATATTTTAGCACCCTCAATGGCATTTTTTCCTGCTTTTGGAACAAGAGGCCCCACATTTTTATTTTGCACTGGGCTTCCCAAATTATGTACCTGACATTGAGTGCAGATGAGTGAGAGACATGCTTTGCTTTGGCCTTGCAACTCACCACTAAATTTTGCACCCTGGGTTGATCCTAGGAACTGTACTTACAAGTCATCACAGCTGATAGAGCAAAGAATCATGACCAAAGAGAGAGAGAGAGAAGCCTTCTATAGTGTCCTTCACTGCTCCAGAGCAACTGTTCTAGGCCCTATGAGACTGAAAGCTCTTTTATAAGTCAAAATGTTCTTCCTCCCTCTTCTTTTTTTCTCTCTCTCCTCCATTTTCTCTCTCTCCTCCAAACTTTTTTTCTCTCTCTCCATTTCTCCACACATGAGGAGAAACGAGGACAGGAAAGCAAGTCCTTAATTTAGAAGGGAAATGGTGGTTCTATATAACCCTCATATATATTCTTTATATTTTATTAATAATATCATAGTTTGTGATTTCAAGGTGCAAAAGCCTTATTGCAAAACAGAGATTGTTCCGGCTACTAGTTCTCTGCCATTTTCACATAAAGGAAAATGCATCTAATATTATTTTGAAGCGGCAACATCATAATAATCTTCATAATTTCTACATTTCCTTAAATATTTTTGGCATATTTACATCAATATTGCATCCTCTTTTTTTTTTGGTGATTACTTTTAGTAAGTCATTCTGACTCAGATATATATACATATGCAAATATATATTACATATAAATGCAAATCACAGTGTTTATATGAAAACTCAGTTTCACATAATAAATCATCAAAAAGCAATGATATTTCCTAATAAGAACAATGATCATAAACCAATGTGATTTCATTATTAAATCATTATGGCTTATCCTGCCTGGTAATGTGCTCAGCTGGAAGCATTTACATCCATTGCCAACCTCTTTACAGGAAAACATCTGACACCTGCATGAGCCACTTTTTCTGTCACTTTTGCTGTTAGAAGCCCCAGACTCAAGAGCTGAAGCCATCACATCACTCTGTTCAGCTGTATCTGCTGAGCTTGTTGGGGCCAAGGAACCCAATACTGATAAACAGAAGAATCTGATGCCCTTAGGCATGTTTTGCTGAAGTGAATGGATTAATAGTGTAAGCTGCATTTTTGGAGACGTCAACCAGCTAGAGTGATAGATGGAATCCCTACAGGGTCAACTCAATATCTTATCTCATAAAGTGGATAAGATGTATTTAGCAAAGGTGGAAGTGAAAAATAAGTAGATAGGAAATTCCTTTTCTCTGCCTTTTTAATAGGTTTTTATGTTTTCTTCATATCCATTTCCTTTTTTTTTTTTTTTAGCATTTCAACACCACCTCGCCACCTGTTTCACACTTTTAAAGTTCTTTTTCTATCAGTGTACTTATGAGAGGCATTCCTCACAATGTAAATATCTCTGTGGAGGTGAGGGAGGAGAGAGAGGGAGGAGAGGGCGGGAGAGGAAGGAGAGAGACATTTAATTAGTGGTTGGCAAAAGTTAATAAATGTGATAATAGGTCATATTGGCCAAAGTGTAGGAAGCATGTTGATGGGAGTGTAGGTTGTTGCAAGCATTTTGGAGATCAATTTAGTCATCTCTTAATGCTTTAAATGCCATTTAAAAAAATGAGTAACTATGTGGTGATATGGAAAAAGCTCTAAGAAATATTCAGTGAAAAACAGCATTCAGTACAGTGTATGGAGTTATTTTGTGTAATGTATGCAAAAGAGTCAGCATCCATACATACAGCTATGACACCTGTATTGAAAAGGCAAATGTATTCCAAGGAAATTGATACATTGGGGGAAAATTTGAACATAACTCCAATTTCCCATTTGCTTATCCACAAGAAATGCTAGGAAAAAGCAGAAAACTGCACCCAAATGGACTGAGCCATATAGGAATACACAAAATGCACACATGCACACACCTCAACATGACCGACTGCCTCAGTTCACCACGTGGGGTAGGAGCCACACTCACCACATCTGATGTTAAACCAACTTACCTTCCAATTTCATGTAACCCTCCTTCCGCCGCTACCCAAAAACTCACAGGGGACAACCCCTCCAATACCAACTTACACAAGCAGACTTCTGGTCTTTTCAAGGGAAGGTGCCATATTTACTGTAGCATTTGTGTATTTACCCATTTAACATGTATAAAACCGCGCTATCATCTGTATTGGGCTCCCAGCTTTTGTTTTTAATGTGTCACTGATAAAGTTTTTAACTGTTGTGCCCCAACCTCATTTTTCTCATAAGTCCTGTGGCCTTTTAGTACATACTTTTGCATAGCACAGTGGTGTTTAAGAACACATATGTTACGTTATAGAACTGACTGTATCCACACATGTATGTCTGTACATACAGACATACCTGCCAGTGGTTTTCCAATTTTATGATGCATCAGATTCACTGGAGGGCTTGTTAAACTACAGATTGCTGGGCCCCACCCTCAGTTTATGAGTCAGTAAGTCTAGGGTAGGGCTAAGAATTTGTATCTAACAAGTTCCCAGGTGATGCAGATGCTACTGGTCTGGGTGCCACAGTGAAAACCACTGCCCAATCACTTGCACAAGGGCACTACAGAGTTCATTGCTGCATGGCTTGTAGTTGAGAAGTGTGCAACAAGCTAAATGTCCAAATAAGAGGGCAATTAATTATGGTATAACCATATTGTGAACTGCTATGCAGTAAGTGAAAAGAAAGAGGTAGGTCTTAACATTCCAGCATGGGAAATAACCCCCAAGACATGTTGTTGGCATAAAGCAAGGTACAGATATAGATATATAAATACCATTTATTTTCTTACATAACTATCCTACCAGTGTGAGCATATACATGTATTGTGTGTATATGTGTATACATATGTAAATTCTTTAAAAGTCATAAAATACATATCAAAGTGATCACAGTGGTTACCTTTTGAAGAAAATCAGGATTTGGGGTGGTGGCTGATAAAAAGGGCTCTACACATAAATGTCATGTTTTAAATTTGATTATCCAAAGATAATCGGCTTGTGTAATTAAAATTAATTCTTTTAGAAATAAGTGTGTGTGTACACAGGGGCCTGTCAGGGGTTGGGGGGCTGGGGGAGTGATAGCATTAGGAGAAATACCTAATGTAAATGACAAGTTGATGGGTGCAGCAAACCAACATGGCACATGTATACCTATGTAACAAACCTGCATGTTGTGCACATGTACCCTAGAACTTAAAGTATAATAAATATACATAAATGAAATAAAATACCCCCTGGATTTTCAAGCCTTGGTATGAAAAAAGAATATAAAACATCTCTTTAATAATTTTTGTATATTGATTACATATTAGAATGAAAATATTTTG